AACTCTGCAGCAGCACTTCTTCTTCGTCGTCTCGTCTGATGCACTCACTCAACCAAGCGTTCTAACCACAACCTCGCCCCTCCCCACCCCCCAACCATTCGAATTTCTGTAGGCAGGAATTATTTTTAATGATATTCTAATGGGCCGCTTGTGATACCACAAAACCCGGAAAACAAATGCTGTAGTCAAACGGAGCCGTTCGTTGTAGTTCTTGAAAAGGGATTTAAAAAAAACGAAATATCTCCCTTTGGAGTGGACTTTGAGATTTGTAACTTTGTAGATCTTTTTTATGCCCAAACATACACACTACACACTGGCTAAAATTTGAAAAGTGAAAAAGCATAATATGACCCCTTTAAATGCTATAATAGTGATTTTATAATGTCTAAATATAAATCCATTAGCAAAACATGTTATTTTATTTTGTTATTTGTAATATAAATGTTATATAAAAGTAATGTAAAAGAACTATATTACTGTCATGCCCCTGGACTCATTCTGTGTGTTTTTCCCTCTCCATGTGCCTGCCCTGACTTAGTTTTCCCTTGTTAATTGTTTATTGAGTTCCAGGTGTGTCTCGTGATTCCTGTGATTAGTCCCATGATGTAAGCCCTGTGCGTTTCCATATCTGGTGTCTGGTATTGATTGTTCATCTTACCCCGCTACGTGTGTGTTCCTGGTTTCTTTGGATTTTAATTAAAGTTTGTTTGTTTGAAGTCTGCACCACGTCTCCTCGTTCCTCGCTCCGTGCTCCTCACAGTAGCGATCATGACAGAATACCAGACCAAAACAATTACCTCCATGTGTTCCCTCCGTTTTTGTTTCCGTTTTTCCTCAGTGTTTTTTGTTTCTGTTGTGTCCATGGATCCCCTCCTTCGTCCAGAACACCTCCTGCTCCTACTGGAGCAGGGGGAGAGATCGCTCGAGGACCACACCAGACTGTTCCTGGCGCTCACCAACCTCTCCAGCTACCCGGACGATGTGCTCTGTGCGTTCTATGACGCCAGTTTAACCCTCTGGGGTCCGAGGGTGTTTTGGGGCCCTGAAGAAGTTTTGACATGCCCTGACATTTGTGTTTTTTTCAGTTGCTAATAAACATTTTAATGGCTAAGTTTAGTAGCACCATAATCAGCACAACCTAGTCTTTTGAGTTCACTGGTCCAATTGCAGAGTCAACCCGAAATTTATACCACGGGTGTGGGTTACAGCCTGGTTACACGTTTCCTCTGCGGTGCGCTGAAGCTGAGGCCTCTCATACGATCTCGCGTCCCCTCATGGGACCTGGCAGTGGTGCTAGAAGCTCTCTGTAAGCCTCCGTTCGAGCCAATCGAAGAGATTTCTGATCGCCACCTCACGATAAAGACTACCTTTCTTCTGCTGATATCTTCTCTTAAGAGAGTTGGGGATTTGCAGGCCCTATCTGTGGCCCCTTCCTATCTTTACTTTGCGCCCAGTCTGGGCAAAACATTTCTGTACCCTCGAGTGGGGTTTGTCCCTAAAGTCCCCTCATCTGCACCGCAGCCCATCGGCTTCCACACTAGGCAGAGATTTGGAAGTCTGGTGATGTGGGCATTCTCGTTCCCATAGCGTTTTCCGACGGAGTTTGAGTTCCTGAAGAGGAACATCTCAGGTTACGTATGTAACCATGGTTCCTCGAGGGAACGAGACGCTGCGTC